CTGGCGATAACAAAGTTCTCTGATGGCAGAGATAGTCACGACGCCAGCTTAACTGTGGCTCGCTGCTGGATTGAAGTTTCCTTGTAATGATAGTTGTCTCAGCAGCACGGAGCCTACCACTCACAGACGGGGAGGGGAGTTCTCTCTGCTCTCTCATTTTCTTTTCCATGTCTCCTTCTCCTGAGTTTGGAAGTGAAGGCAGGTTTGAGGAAGTTCAAATTTAAGTTATCGACCTGTTAGCGATCGATGACGATGATCGGACGCAGCAAATCACGTCGTCGTCCTTGTTGTCCCTGTCTCACTGTCACCTCCTCGCCCCCTCATCTCCCCCCACCCCGACCGCTTCTTTCAGCACAGTGGAAGAGTCTAATAACTGGAGGGGAATCTAATCCTTGGCACTGGATGAAAGACGATGCCCCCACCCCTACCTCTCTCTCTCTTTCTCACAGTGTCTTTCTCTTTTTCTCTCTCTCTTCATTTTTTCCATGGATTCTGGTTATGGTTGGCAGGTTCTCTCTCTCTCTCTCTCTCTCTCTCTCTCTCTCACTAAAGCCTGGCAGCAGGAAGTCTGTGCTGGATGGAGAGTGTGAGAGCAGAAAGTCCAACAGAACAATTTGTTAAAGATTTGGATTAAAAGCTCAAAGGTCGGGGTTTTGTGGCCGTAGAACTTCACAGAGGTCCAACTCGCTGATGTCCAACGTCTCCTTGATAATATTGTCCTCAGATGCTGTGGTCATGAAGTCACTCAGTGATCGATGCTGTTGAATTTGTTTTAATCAGTGTTTGATTCCGTTTCTACTCTTGTCTTTTTCAGAGATCCACTCCTTAAATGCACAGTGTTTTCCTGGCAATTAAATCTGTATTAATCATGCGTACGCAAACTGTGGTCCACGGGCCGTAAATGGCACGCTGGGCTTTCTAATCTGGACCGCAAAAAATTGGCACAAAGAGGCAAAAACTGATTTATTTTTTCCTGAATTGCAATTTTGCCCATCTTTACAGCAACGTGATCACTGGTTCACTGGATCACTGATTCACTGGATCACTAGTTCACTGAATCACTGGATCACTGGTTCACTGGATCACAGATTCACTGGATCACTAGTTCACTGGATCACTGGTTCACTGGATCACTAGTTCACTGGTTCACTGGTTCACTGATTCACTGGTTCACTGGATCACTAATTCACTGGTTCACTGGATCACTGTTCCCAGTTGTTCTGTTTGTTCTGCTTGTTCTTCCTGTATGTGCGTGAGTTTCCTCCAGATACTACAGTTCCCGACCATATTAAAAAAAAAGCCTAAAATGCTAAAATGCTTTCAGTCTTTTCTACGCCATCTATTGGGGAAATGTGAGTATTGCAGGGAAAAGGAAGAAGTGTAATGGTATTGCAGGGAAAAGGAAGAAGTATAACGATTATGGTATTAAAGTAATAATATAATTGGGAAAAATTTGGCCGGCCAGATTGCAAAGCCAAACGGGCCGTATCTGGCCCCTGGGCCATAGTTTGCCCATGCCTGACTTAGGGGCTATAACTAGAAAATCTATCTTCAACAGTGTAGCATTAGTCTGTAAATCTTGCATGATGAAAAACGTTGGTGGCTTTTGAAGAACCTGAGATGTTGGTGATGGTGTTTTTAGTTGTTGCTCTGATCAGAACTTCAGCCTCGGCCACAGAAACGTCTCTGCTTGGTTTTGTCCAAGTCTTTTCCCACTGTTGGGAACGCTGCGACCACAGTGAGAAGAGATTGGCACTAAAGGACAGTGATTTTGAAATAAATAACAAAGGCTACTTATCTAATTGGTAAACAGGCCTCTTAAATGGTGGCTGCCTTAAACGCTTGCAGGATGCAGTAATTGCTGCCAGTCCTCGCGCAGAGACGCACACGTGCACGTTCACACACACTTTTTTGGACTTCCTCCTCTCAAACATAAACACAGTGATAACCTTTAGGTTGAACCCGTCTTTATGAATTCCATTGTAGAATTAGTCTTCCACACCCTCCTCCTCCTCCTCCTCCTCCTCCTCCTCTTCCTCCGCCTCCTTCCTCACTCCCTGCCTGTTCTCACACAGGCTCATTATACCTTGGTCTGGAGTGTGGCCAGGCTGAGGAAGATGACACCCAGGAGTGTGTCGGAAACATCAGATGCAAAGTATTGTTCAACTCTCGCTGTCAAACACTCGCAAATCATGATGGTGTTTTTTTTTTTATTTTAAGAATAAAAAAGTGTCAAACACTCGCAAATCATGATGGAGCGGATTTTTTAAAAAACTTTAAGAAATAAAAAGAGTCTCAGCACATGACAGACAGAGACAGTGTTTCTAAAATGTTCTGGAGCTCATCCTCCTCCCCCACCTCCTCCTTCCTCCCACGTTGTTGATCAGACTCTTGTCAACCTTGAAACATGTAGAGCGCCCTCTTCAGAACTCATGTAGTTAAAAACACTTTAATTCCTACAAAACTGTCAAACAACAACAAACACAAATGTACTTTTTAGGAGCAGCAGCAGCAGCAGCAGCAGCAGTAGTAGCAGTAGTAGTAGTAGTAATTGATAGGTGGCTAAAAGTGTTAGCCTGTAGCCCCCCCCCCCACCTGTCCGTATCAGTGCGATGAATCTGTGATGCATCATGAACTTAAAAAGGCAGCAGTGATAGCGCCTCCTTCTGCTTCATCGTTCATTAGACGAGAAAAAAAAAATCCCCCCCAAAAAAGTTCCAGTTTGTTTTATGTCGTCTGTGGGAATTAATTTGATCCTGAGCTCATAAAGTCTCCCTGTGTTTCCCCGAGACATGTTTGTGTTGCTTTATTACAGGGAAGAGCGCAGCTTGTTAAAGTGTGTGTGTGTGTGTGTGTGTGTGTGGGTGTGTGGGGGGGTGGGGGGGAGAGAGAGAGAGAGAGGGAGAGAGAGAGAGGGAGAGAGGGAGAGAGAGAGAGAGAGAGAAGCAGAGTTATCAGAGCAGCCAGCTCCTTCTCTCTCTCCCTCTCTCTCTCTCTCATTGAAGAGCTGTAAAAACTCCAGACCGCAGGAACTGCCAGCCTGGAATTCACTAATGACACACGTGGGCCTCAGATGAGGAGTGCAGTGTGTGTGTGTGTGTGTGTGTGTGTGTCGACGTACTGTTTGGATCAGAAGACCCAGTTTATGTGTGTGTGTGTGTGTGTGTGTGTGTGGGGGGGGCCCTATCTCATAATCTACACTGTGTGCATGTATGTTAGTGCATGTGCGTGTGTGTGTGCGTGTGTGTATTTTCCCACCCTCACCCTGTACAACCCAGCTTTTTCACCCCCCTCCTCTAACCCCCCCCTCCCTGAAATGAAAATGGCTGCTGTGCAAACAGAACACACCTCACCTTATCTCAGTCCTGCTTTTTCTTCCAAAAGCGACTGTTTAAGTTCAGCAGACGGGCCAGGGCCACTGGTGGTCCTGGGGGGG